TAATAATATTTATAAGAAAAAGAAAAGATTAATACTGCATGAAAAAACACAAAATATATTAAATATAAATAGAATTGCTTCTGGTAGCAAATATTAATTAAATAACAAGTAAGGAAGCACTAAGTTCGGGTGCAACGGAACATTTTAAAACTTGATCAAATCTGTTCCAAAGTGTCCACATTCAAGGAATGCTTAACTAGGTACCGTCTCCTTTTTCTATAACGGGTGATACAAGGGGAAGTACCTTTTTCTATGGCCGTTTTTGAAATATCACGCTTGTTTTGTGTTAAGCTGTGATGTTATTTTTGTTTTGTATTGTTTGTCATTCCATTGTGTAGACTTAAAAATTCACGCTCTGTGAAGAATGTGTTTAGAGCGCTTCGCTCAACTTATGGTCAAAGTATTCGGCCTACTGAGGGTACTATTCTCAACACCATCACCCATCCTGAGACCCAGCATTCACATTTGTATAATATCCGAAGGAATAGACTCCGTCCAGCATACAGAAAATATTGCGGTTGTAGCTGAGAGCGTACACGAGCACTGTGGAGAGTTGATTAGGCGTCATTCGCAGCCAACTCGGACTGACGGAGTTCTTTAATATAGTATTAGCCATGAGGTGGAGTCAAGAACTTGTGGCTACCTGGCAAAGCGATTGGCAAATTTTGATTTCACTTTACAGTGAGAGCGTAAATTTTTTGACTGGGAAAGCCATATTTATTTTCGTTTGTTGAATATATTCGTGTGTTTCATTTTGTTATAGGTTATTGTAGACAAAATGATTACACGTACTGTGGGGCAATGAGAACATGCTATAGTAAAGGTGGAACTTAAAAACTTAATTATATTGGAAATTAATGGGAAAAACTGAAATTGCCGATTGACACAGCTCAGATACAGCAGGCAGTTTATATTGTAATAAAACATCCGCAGTGAATTGGAACTAGATCATCCAACTTTGTTATTATTGATATTTTTTCGTAAATAATGTTTAACGGATTCTTTCTAGATCACCGTTCACGTAATCGAAAAACACCCATTGCTCCAATTCGTTTTGTCAAATATTTAACAGCACAATGCGTTCTCGTATTACAACCTTATAAACATTTGCGCTCCCGGTAGCGCTAGCAGTTTTTGCGTACGAATTGGGAAGTAATTGCAAAAGTATTTGCACATACAATTATAAGTAACATAATCTTTACCGGCTAGGCCATGACATAAGTAATAATATTTGGTGGAGGATACCATCGTACTTACTGTACAGCCCTAAGAATTACCTTTTTTCATTTCCGTTTTCGTATGAAACATCGAGGAACTGGTGAAATAGACCGATATGAGGGTTTCTTACCTCTTGTAAGTATAGATGAAAGAGTACTCATAGTAAGGGAACTTTTGTACTAGAAATCCCTAATTATATTTATTAAATAATTACAATTACGTGTATTAAATTCAATTTTTTTACTACATATTAATTCGCTCAACTTATTCTATAACATTATTTTTTTCTGAATCTGTTTTAATTTTGCTGTAGCTACAGTTTTAAAAGTGACGATTTCCACGGACTCAATTTATTACATCTATTGGTAACACAGATTAGAAAAGTTCCATCAGTTTCAAATGAATGATGTTTGTTGATAAAATAAGCTTAATTAACTTTCAATTAAAACAACTACAATTAATTGTTTAATCAGTTGATCAATCAATTAAAAAATTATTTATAAAAGCCCAATAAGTTGCAATGAATTTTCATTGATATTATAGGCAAGAGTGATCATACCACTTTCAACCCTTTTTGAAATTCTGCAAATGATGATCAGGTTTTTAACTGAATAACAATTTTGAATAAACTCATTTCTACTCTGGGTTATCGATATTTAGTCTATTATAAATTAAAGGGAATCGTCATTATACCCTTGCAAGATGTTGCAACAGAGTGTCATAGTTCTGTGCACC